AATTTCATATTATTGGACTATGTAATTCCATAATCCCCTATAGTTTTCTTCCTCTTTTTTCTATGAAAGATTTCCTTTAATTGAAATTTTTTCTTTTATTTTTATCCCTTAAGTACTCAATCCCCTTTGATTTCCGTCACTTTTGTGCTCGGATTTCAATGGTTTGCCGCTCTCAACTCAACTTCTATTATTGCCAAGGACATTATTGCAAAAGTTCTCATGCACACGCACACACTCTCAGATTCGCATCCTTGATGCTGCACAACTCTCGCGCTCTCACTCTAATTTTCTCCCGCTCTCTCTCTTTCTCTCGTGTGCGACAAAAAACTTCGTTTTCGGAGTTTGCACATAGATCTCTCACATCTCTCGCATTATTGTTGCTTTTTTACGGGGGTTGGGGAACCGAAAACTCCGCGAGTGTGTATACCTCTATGACAGACCAAAATTCACATATAATTCGTACCTTCTATCGTCTATCTCCGGATCTCTGTTTTGGTTTCTGGTTTTCTCAACTTATTGCACACCAAATCACCGATTTCCCTGTTATTATTTGTTAAACTGTTAAACACTTTAGCATCTGTGCTGTGCGCAATGCTAATTATTAAGATCAGAAAACTTTAAGCGGTTACTTTAATTTGTTTGCAATTGAATTTGATTAATTTAGCGGGATTTGTGTTTGCTGGCTACTCCATTCAAAAAATCGCGTTTGCCTTTGATTTACCGTTGCTGCGACGAATTTCACTTTCGACTCGCGAGCGTTATGAGTTGGATGTATATTTTGGTTGGGGATATTTTTTATTCGACTCCGATTCCGAGTTTTGAACGCCTGCAGTTCTCCAAACGAGACTCAAACAATGCGCCCGAACAGAAAAAATTGAACCTCGCTGGTTTTTCCAACTCGTCCGCTCCGCAACCGCACAAGCGCGATATTTTCAACCGAATGAAAGACTCGACTCGACCAGAAAGCAAACGCACCCCAAACAACAGTGATGGCAAGGTAATGGCGATAAAATAATAAATATATCTGGTGGGAAAGAAATAGTACAATTATATCACTGTGTTCCTGAACTAACCTTTATAATAGAAACCTTTATAGGTGAAGAAAAAGTTTCACTGGTTTATGTTATTACCGATTGTCAGATTAAGAATACGTTAACCTCACTTTTGCAAACTAATTGTAAGGTCCTTTTTTTAATCCTTTAAAAATCTTTATTTAAATATATTTAAGTATCGCCACACAAACCAAAAATGTTTATGATCTTTGAATTTTTTATTTTATCCCTCGTTATAAGATACATTTTTGTCTGCTAGCTTTTTCTTATTAGCCTTCTAGCTTCTTACCGCTAGAAATATTGTCATCACTGCCAAGCAAAGGCATAACGAGAGCGGAGAGAGAGAGAAACGCAAAGTAAATGAAGAGAGAGAGAGAATGGAGAGTGCTTTGTGTTTTTGTTTATTGTTGTTGCCTTTGCTGCTGGCGGGTTTACTTTTGTTGCTGTTTCAAACGACGAGGCATTGAGAACAAAGCACAGTGGGTCATATTGGAAAATGTGAAAGTAAAGCTCAGCTTTAAGGAAACAAAAAAATATAACATTTTAAAGAACAATTTATATTAGAAAATCATTATACAATTTATTGTTTATACGTTTATCTTTAATGGTTAACCGTTCTATAATTATTATTTATTCCCCTTCCCTGAATCGTTGCCATTAATCGAAACCGCCATTAAAACCCAAATATATTGAATAGTGAAGTCGTGGTAATGTCAATTGCCATATGTGCATCCTTCATCTGTGGTGGTTCTCACTAACTTCCCCATTAGAAGTTCCACCCCTGCACTCAATTTCCCAATTCAGTCTACAAACCACAACAAACATGACAAAGCCCACATTAAATATGAATTACCATTAAGCAGATCGATCATGTTGCATGCCGCAATCTCCAAAGAAACCACCCTCATGGGTGTGCGTAATGACAGCTCATTACTTGGTTATTTCAGGGGGAATGCGAAACATGAAACTTTAAACATGACAAGATACCCGCGTTCGACCGATGGCCATTGAAATTGCATTATTACGAGGTTGATTGGCCTTCAAATTCGAATACCACCCCAAGGCTATTGACAATTTTCATTTTCTAAGGAAAATCGCTGATCTCGAAAACCCAAAAGACTGTGACAGTCTGGCAACTCTTAAAGTTAAAGACAAAATGCAAACACAACTTCATCTGCAGACTCTCTCAAACTAAGCAAACACAGAAAGTAAAAGCAAACAAGCAAAGTCGCTCGCTCTTGCTCTCCTGCTGTTAACAGCGCTGCGGGTGGTAAGTCACACTGTTAACTCAACAGGGCTACTGGTATCAACAGCTTTGTTTTAAACAAGTTCAAAATGATAACATAAATAACATAATTAATTAATAAAATTTATATACAGCCGGAACTGCATTGGTTTGACATTTAGCAATCAACGTTGATAATGCTTTAAGAAAAAAAGAAAAAAAAAACTGGGGGTCTCGCAATCTTCTACGGCTCACTTCAGTTCTTATCATAAAAAAAGAACAATACGCCAGAAAAAACAACCAGCGATCGCAATAACAACAACAATTTATTTATTCAAATTACAACATACATATGTACCAACAGCTGTGGCTAAAAAGGGCAAGCCAAAGTTGATATACCCTTTATAAAGATTTTTGATAAAATAATCAAAATATTCTTAATGAATTATTAAATAATACATATTTAACCGATTAATTTATTTTAATGAGTTGGGATACAATATCCAAAACCTTTTCTGTAAATGAGAAATTAAAAGAAATTAAAAATTCAGATGTATCTGCTTAGATTTCAATCGTCTTATAAAATTTAGAACTGCCTTTGAAAGTGTATAGGAAGCAAGTCCCAAGAAAACAAGAAACCAAAACAAACTCACAACTTCACAAGAGAAAAGATCAGCAGTGAAATTATTGAGGATGCCTGGAATATTTATCGTACAAAATCGATGATAAACGCGATGAAGACATATGGTTTAGCCGACTTGCTGTCGACATGACGGATCGACACGCCTACATAACGAAATGAGGTCTGTCTTAAAGTCTGGGAAAGTAAAGAAAACTAATCAAGCATAAGAACTTGGTAACATTATCTCAGGGGAAGATAAAGATGAAGCTATGTTAAGCATTTAAAATGTAATTATAGCCCAAATATACACATAATATTTAATATCATTATCAAAATTTAAAACAAAGACTATACCGTGGATCCTTTTGTAGATTTGTAAAAACAAAGAAATACTAATTTTCTAGTGACACAATTCTCACAAATTTCTTAACACTTCCCGAATGCAGCCAGTTGCAAACCCATTCCAATTGCATTCTATCCAGAACTCTCCCACAATTCATAATTGTAGTTATCTTGGGGCTGCCTGAAGACCTGAATCTTTGCACATCAACAGATCCACCCGGGCCAAAAACGCAACTTGAATGATAAGTCAAAACAGCAGAAAATGAGTAAGAAAAACTTAAAGACAAGCAACCACTTCCATTAGGGAGATACTGAGAGAGCTGCAGGCCCCAGAGCAATGTTGTACGTTTTGGACATATCTTTTGCTTACAACATTTACGACAGGAAGAAATCCATCAACACGATTCTTTTGGCCTAGGCCTGCCTTCGGGCCAAAAGACTTTCCACAAGAAAAAGGCCAAGAGAGAGAAAAAAAAGCATTAAATAAAAGTTGCATTCAACACTCGCTTTCTTTGCGAGTCATGTTGTAATGGTCGCTGGAGGGCCCGCAGACGACTGGTCGACCCTTTAGCATTAGTTAAACCCTACACTCAAAAAAATGTAATCAAAAATTATCATTTATAATTAACACATTTACTGTAATAATATATAAACTATTAATTTTTCAATATATACATTATCCATTTAATTGGAACATGGAATTATTGAAATTTAAGTAATTAAATTAGATTGGTTACCTTATCAAATAAATTTTTGCTTTTAAGAAAACATTTCATAAAGTCCTCTAGTATTAAAACATTATCATAAAGGTAAGATTTTCAAATTATTGTTTTAATTTTTTTCCAGTGCATTAACACCCCATCCTTAACCCCCTAAAGCACATTTTACACTGTCACGGGAAATTGTTTGTTTAACATGCGCGGCGCGTTTAAAATTACATGATGAGCAGCGTTTATCAAAAAAAAAAAAACATAAAGAAATCAAAACAACCAAATGGGTGTGATGCGTCGGAGGGGGGGTTACGGATCAGGGTGTATGGGGCCTGTGCAGCTGCATTGTCTGGGCTTGATCATGCAGATCCTACGCAACTTTGTGCCTCCACTTCATTTCTTCCTCGATTACAAGTATATTTAGCTGCCTGTCTGGGGTCGTCGTCGGGGTCTTGATTCAATCGAACGAACGACGAGACAACGATCCCCCTTTTGCTCCCCTCTGAAGACCCACGCCCCTGGGCAATCATTGGCGCTGCGATCCAAGTCTTGTCTGGCGACCTATGCTGATTTCTCGGAAAGAAATTATGATATTTCTTGCGGTCACTCGATGATGAGTTGCCATTGTCTCATCGCTTCTGGAAACGAAGAAAAGAACTTCTGGCTTCTGTTGATTTTTCCACGGATACCTCCCACTCTCTCAAAATGAATGGTAGACGGGCGGCTTATTACTTAATTGGAGCAATCGGAGGAAATATTATAATTGGACCACACTGCAGTTTTTAAATCGTTGGTTGAAAAGGTGAAGAAGAAGGAACTTCGAAATTAACAATTAGTATTTGCTGTTCTTTATTTAATAATCTTCTTGCTCAGTCACTCAATTATAAATCTAATTTTTATTGCGTATGAAGTGGTGAGAATGTTTACTATTAATTATTTTTAAGTCAGAAACAGTTGAATTTTATATATACAATCCTTATAATGTTCTAGTTCTAAAGTAATAATTCACAGATAGCGAGCAAACAATTTAGAAACCCTAATTACGCTTTACATCACAGATTCCATTTCAGTGAGTCAGGGCCGATATCCACTGAAATTATAATGGGATAATTAAAGCTCATTACGATCAGCGAATGGGAAAAACTTTGCCAAAAGAGTCCGTCTCCAGACAGTGTTCCACTTCCTTGGCTCTGGCTCCATAAATATCCGAGTCGGCTGCGGAACGTAAATCTTCATTTAGTCTGGTTTGTTCCGAACTTTCCCTTTCCCCAGCTCCTTTTCAACTCACCCATACCGTAAGTTACGCCCTTTGTGGATAGTTGCTTGAGCTCAAGTAAAAATATATTTCCTCGCCGCACCGCAAATGTTGACAATTAATCACGAAATGTATGGATACGGGTATGTGTGATTATACAGTACGTTTCAAGACGTTAAGTTCGGCTGTAAACTTTTATATCAATAGTGTTCGGGAATTATTAAAAATTTTCAAATTCTTTTTTATGTTAAGAGTCGGATGACTACTTATTATTAAAAAAACAGAAGAACTAGTTTTCTATAGTAAAAAATCTATAATATCTTCGCACTCTCAGCTACGAAACGTACTGCACACCACTGGTCCGGTCCATAATTACAAGACTCGAGTTCCCCCTCCATGGACCCCACCCCTTCGCACTTTCAGACACACCCATACTCCCCATCCGCACTTGAAGACTTGAACTTAATCGGCTCTGAAAGCGGAGATAAGACTACCAAGTCGCCCCGTAAGTCCCCCGGTTCTCATTATCAAGTAACGGTTAATGCACGCATAAATTAATTATTTCACAGAGCAATCAAATCCGAAACTCATACCCAACCAGAATGTTAATTGCCAGATCCAGAACCAAAACAGAAATAGAAATGAAAATGGAAAGAGTAGCTCAGCGGAGAAATGTTTTGGTAATGTAAACAAAGATCAAAGTGTTGGCGATAAGATTTCCAATTCTTCATTTTCGATTCTCGAATCTTGAATCTTCAATCTTAGTTCTATATTCCTTCCTCAAGTACCCAGAACCGGTTAGGTTGGAAGTTCATGACAGCAGCGCATCAAACATCAAGACCCCGGTCAAAGTCCAACCATGGGAAATTAGTGAAATAAATCAAAGTGGAAAATGGTTTTTAGGATGAAATATGTAAAAGTTCTTTAGGGTAATGAGCATGGTGGGAAATGTTCAGAGAGCAATAAAAAAAATTCCGTTATGTGTGGCAAGTTGATTAATTGCGAGTCAAATCTAGCCCTCTTCAAAATGGCAATCAAAAAATGTTCGAACTTTGACTGCAACTGCTCTTCAAGTAGCTGTTCAACCAGTAATTCGATATATCATGCTTTCCGCACATCATGAGTGAAGGGGAAGTAATGTGCATCGTCTAGTCTGCGTTGATATGATTTTTTACGATTCGTTGCTATCACAAATTGAGCGAAAAGGAGGATATAATGATTTTATAGGGAAAAATAAGATTGGGGTTGCATAAAAATGCAAGTGGGTTAGGATAAGGTATTTGTAATGATATATACAATACCACTATATACAATATATACTATACTATATACCTTACTACAGATTAATGTTTAATTAATAAATAAATGAATCTGCTATTTTCCCAATTCCAACCTTCAAAATATTCCTGATCTTGAAAATGTTGAACTTATATACACACATGTGTGAGCGCAAAAATAGTCTTCACCACTTGACCTACATCTGTGCAATTGGCGTAATTAAAACCTTCGAATAGAGGTCTCCAGTTTACAGTCCAGAAGGCACGAACAACAAGTGCGACCCAGACATAGACCTTACACAATCGCCGGGGAGATCAACGAAGCGATCCCCGAGCACCGACCCACATACCATTAAAAGGCCGAAAATATGAAAATAGGAAAATTACTACATTTTCTCGGTACGAACAACATAATCGCAAAGTAAGTGAAATTTTTTCAATTCACCCAAGTTGATTTGCGTCATCTTCAAAGGTCGCTTTCTGCACACTCTAATGGGTTAATTACCGCTCAAGGGTTAAGCTGGCAAAGGTTTTAAGCTTGCCACACACATATCTCTTTTGGCTTTTTTCATTGCATACCCAAATATTTGGCTTTATGCCTGCTGACGGACTGGCGTAAACACGAGAAAAATAGAACGCATCGTAAAGTATTCTTACTTTTGGGTTGCATTCCATTCCCCTAGAATGACGTAAAATTAGCCTAAGAGCGCATAGAAGCCTTCACTCCCACGGTTCGTTCACTCAACAACTCCGAAACTATAAAATGCACGCGTTGCAGTCGAGGCAAAAAAAACAAAAGATTTTTCGACAAGCTCGTGCAACGCGAACAGTGAAAAAACAAGGAAGAACGCTATAGTCCAGTACCTCGACTATCAGATACCCTTTACTCAGCTAAAGGGACCAAAGGGAAATGAAGATATGCAAGCAGCAAAGCGAGATTGAAATGCGCCACCTACCGGCGGTAGACAGATTTAAGCGTTGTTAGCGTTACAGTGGGCGTGGCAATTTTTGTTTGGGTCAATCGATAGGTAATTTTTATTCTAGCATCAAAACTGTAGCAGCCACAGTTTTGGGCGTTTTGTGGGCGTTAGAGTGGGCGTGGCACTCTGCTGAAACAAAATTGCGCTGCGCAGGAATCTCAGGAATCTGCATGCCTAATCCCCGAATTGTAGCTTTTATAGTTTCCGAGATCTCAGCGTTCACACGGACAGACGGACATGACCAGATCGACTCGGCTAGTGATCCTGATTAAGAACATATATACTTTATGTGGTCGAAAACGCTTTCTTCTGCCTGTTACATATATTCCGACGAATCTAGTATACCCTTTTAATCTACGAGTAATGGGTATAATAAATTTTTGAGGTACGCACTCGGATGGGCCAGATGGTTCGAAAAACTTTTCCGAGGCAGGAAAAGTGTGAAAATAATGGCGCCATATAGGGGCTGGCGATTATGATCTAAGCAAACTTGGAAGAATGTAAAAACTGCAAAAATAAACACGGAAGCTGGTGAATAAATTTCGGAGGTCTACTTTGGAATAAAACGATTGGGCTCTTTCATCTTAAGTATATCATCTGCATTTATTCAATCATTTAATGTATAGCTATAAAATGCAGGTGAATAATACATTTTTAATGGAGGAAAATTTAAAACTTTTCTACTGATCAATTTCTCAGTCTTAAGGTAAAAATATTCCAGTGATTTAGGTCGCATTGGGAAAAAGGGTCGGAGAAGAAAAGTCCAAGCCAAATGCTAACCCACTGAATTTATGTGCATTTTACGAGCTTTGTATATCAATTGCAGAGTGGGGAAATTGAAATGCGAAATTCACTCGAGAAATTTAGCAACAAATAACGACTTGAAGAAAATTCTTGCGAAATGTATTTACAAGTTGATTTAGGTATTCATATGTATGTGTGCGCTGGACAACCTTGAACTTTTGCTAGTGGCAGGCGGAGAATCAACTGAAAGTGACCCAACCTCCAGCTCCTAATGAATACCCATTAATTTTAATGTGCACTCATTTGGGGGGATTTCGGAAGGGGAAGGGAATGGAATGGAAGGCTTAGCAGCACCTCATCTGGAATTAATGAGCTGCTACTGATGCATCATCAGAATCCGAAGGGGGAGTCTCTCCACCATTCACGATATTCATCTTGCGATTTAGCTCCCAGTCAGTCTGTCTTTCTGTCCCTCGGTGTTTGCAAATGTCAGGCACTCAATCACGTGCGGATTGCCAAGATGCGACGGACTAAATGTGGGCAAATCGAGGGACAAACCACCAGGACCAAGCCTATTTTCCGAGTTCTTTGGGATTCATCTGTCAGTTGCAGACTACAGGCTATGTAGAAATAGTATAGATATGCAAAGCCAGCTATAGATGGATGTACAGAGATTGGATGGAAAGAAAAGGATTAATGGCATTCAGTTATTACTTATAATGTTCTTTTGTCCATGTTGTGGAATTTATATTCATAAATCTTGTTAATTTAGAGTCCAAAGAAAACATTATTAGTTAGTACTAATTATCTTTAAAACGCTCAGCAATTGTGGTTTCAGCTAAGTTTATATAAATATAGTGGGCAAATATTTATAATACTGCAATCCCCAAACCCTTAAAATGAATATACAAACTGTAAAGTCTTTAATTGAATTCCACATAAACTCATCTTATAACTTAAGTCCCAAATGAAATGATACCATTGAATTGGCCATCTCATGCAATACCATAAAAGCTGTATCATAAATTTTCAGGGAATTCGTTTTAATTGCTTTTTAAGAATCTCTTTATTGAGACACTTTCTGTTGGCCAACAAAGTGAAAATGAAAATAATTCCTAGAACGCATGATACACCTGACAAATTGTAAGGGGAACAAAAATTCTCAGAAATACAAGAGAAAAGCCGCAGATGATTCAATATATTTGAATACGCTTTTTCCGTTGTTTTCATTGCAGTACGCGGAAGCCGGTTTCGGATGAAAATAGCCATACGTATATATTTTTCATGATATATTTCACATTACTCAATTAATTTTGGGGGAGAGCCGAACGGGAAATGTGCCAAACAAAGCACAAGGAAATGGGAAAGCGTCAGGAAGGTCAGCAACCTGAACCCGCGGGGAGATTTCGCTTTTGCCTATTAATCAACAAGTGGACGACTGTGACATGTCCAGACAGGCGCGGATCACACTTCATGAATCCACGTTCGACATTGTGAGTAATGTATAATATATATAATATATCTATATTTCTATCAATGCAAACAAATAACTCTCATGGGGCTTTTCGAGTCACGCAAAAGTTTTGTCCAACTCAGAGTCGTTGAACGTCGAAGGCGGAAATCACAGAGAGTCCGATAAAAAACGGAAGTCGTCGCATTGTTAAGGATAGCCAGTAAAAGTATCTTATGGATAGATTGCATGCCAGCAAACTGCTGCCTTGTCCAGGAGTGAGAAATGAGGAATGGGCGATCGCCCGTTGGATCTACAAGGTTTGCGTGTTCAATTTTCCCAACTAAATTAAATTATTAAGGAGTCTGCAAAGGCAATTCATTGTTGGCAAGCACACACCAAAGGGGGGAATGCTCTATCACAGACTTTTAATTTCTTTCGAATTGTTACACTGACTAATTTTAAAATATAAATAAAAAATTCACTTATATTTGGTATTTAAGAGACTTTTTATGATCTTATTTTATGTAAAAATATCATATCACATGAATCTCATAAGAATTTAAAGTTAATAACATTATATCTTCAATATAGAAATCATTACTTTTGTGTTTTTTGTATACCTTTATTATTACTATTATTTAATTAATTGGAAAACTACTCATTCATGGCAGTACCTTGTTATTTACTTGGCTTGCCGCTACGCTAACTGCAATTAACAAACTTTGTCCAGCTGCCAAAAATATATTTATAATGTTGGAAATGCCCCAAACACCGTTTACCAAAATTATTAGAGTGCGTCAACACCGGCAACAACATGAGTAATGGCCAATAGATGATCAAATTTGTTGTTGCTGCGACGGCATTCGTTGCCCAAAAATGTGATCATTGACCGTCACGCCCGACGCCCCAAAAAACGCTTTCCAAAATCGTGTGCCGTTTGTTGAGTGGGTGCCAAATGGCTGGGGAATTGCGACCAAGAGGAAAAAGAGTTTCGCAGAATAAACTAAATGAGATTTGCCACCCGAGATTTGCATTTCTATTGGCATACAGGTTACACAGAGATACAAAATCCCCGATGGGAGTGCGCCATGGAAAATTAAATTATAATAAAAAGAGGCAAATTTGCTGCGAATGTGAATAAACTTTTGCGTTGAATTGAAGGCGGAACGGCGGTGAACGGGGCGTATGAGTGACGACGATGCTGGCGAATTTAGTGAGTGTGTGTTTTGTTGCTGTGTCGGCATGTTTAGATTGAAATTAATTGATTGGGGCAAGCGGGAAGGGGCAAATGTTCCCCAACGCGTTGCCATGTGCGGATTTATAGCCACGTTAATAGTTCACACACAAATTATATCGGCAATTTCTGGTTTGACGCCACGGTGCGAAGTGTAGCAGATTAAGATAAATTACAAAATGAATTTTCGGTTAGATAGGCCATTTGTGGGGCTAATTTT